CTTAGCCAAACCGGTTTTGGCGATTGAATGATGTTTTGATTGAAGTAACTGAAAATTTAAAAACCCTGTGTGAGAATGCAGTCTACAATCAGACACTCATGAAGAAGCTCCAGGAAACCAACTACGATGTAATGATCATAGACCCTGTCTTGCCCTGTGGAGAGCTAGTGGCTGAATTGCTTGCAGTCCCTTTTGTGCTCACATTAAGGGTGTCTATGGGAGGCATGAAGGAGAAACACTGTGGAAAACTTCCCTCTCCACCTTCCTATGTTCCTGTTCAGATGGTGGGACTTACCGACCAAATGACCTTTCTGGAAAGTGTAAAAAATACAATGCTCTCCGTTTTCTTTGACTTATGGATCCAGGATTATGACATTCATTTTTGGGACCAGTTTTACAGTGAAGCATTGGGTAAGACATTTTGCTTTTTATTTTAAACTTGTTATCAAAAGAAATTTAGAAATCTAAGTGAATGAAAGGAATACATTTTAAAATATCTGTCTTCCATTTAAAACTCTACCAGTAACAGTAATCAAATGGTTATCAAAAACTAAGATGAAATGGGAACAAAAAATCTCTTTCCATGGTTACTCTGTCTTTATAGTCATCAGACCACTTCTCATAAGACAACTTGATACTTGTTAGGAATGTTTGTCATATTTGGATATTACATAAATACAGTACATTGAGTTTCCATATTAGAGCAATTCTAGCTATTCTTGGAAGAGACAGTATAATGTTTATCCTAAAAGCAAGATAACCTACATATCTGATACCAGTAATGAGTTAAAATATGGTTATTAACACATATATTCTATTTAATCCATCTGTATCCACTTCAAACATTTTATCATTATATGTAAATTGTCCCCTTGGGAGTTCAACTGACCTGGAATTCGTCGCACACTATGACGTGGGCTGACCACCAGGGGGTGGCATGGAACAAAGGCAGACCCCTTCCAGCAACCAGAAAACCCCAATTGACCCTGAGAGCTCGCCAGGGATAAGAACCTTACCCGTGCACAAATATACACAAGTTCTTTGGTTAAACTCTTCCCACCGCCCCATTCCCCCCTTCCCTGTAATATTCATCAGTCTGGTTCATGTTTCCATACATCTTGTTATATTTTATTCATCAATGTATTGCGTACATTAGTTTCCACATATAAGTGATACCATGTGATATTTGTCTTTCTTTGACTAGCTTATTTTGCTTAGCATAATCACCTCCAGGTTTCTCCATGCTATCTCCAATGGTAATAGATCCTCCATTTCTACAGCTGCATGATATTCCACTGTGTAAATGTACCACAGCATTTTTATCCATTCCTCTACTGATGGGCACTTGGGCTGTTTCCATATCTTACCTATCTACACTAATAAAAGAGAAAAATGGTAATTGGCATACGACGCTACCCTTTTCATTGGCTAATCAGGGCTATATGCAAATTAACTGCCAACTCAGATGGTAATTA